GTGTCTCCTCATTTGAAGTGTTGTCTCCCTCCTTTCAGCTCCCAGAAGCCCTGCATCTTTAATCTCCTCCCTGCTGCTTCCATGTCTGATCTCATTCCATAGCTCCTCATCCTACCAGACACTGCGATCACAGAGTTAACCGTTAAAATTTAGGGCCCGAAGCAAACATTTCAGAATCATTCTTCCTCTTCCCTGCATTAATTACCAAATTAATCACTCTTCAGAGAGAACGTCTCTTCCCTCTTGCTCTTCCTGTGGGCCCAGGCTTCTCTGAATGGATGGCAACGGATCAAAGCTGAGCACCCAGGGGCTCTTCAGTGGTGTGTCTGGTCTCCTGCAAGCACAAACTCCTTCCCTTCCCTGAGCTCTGCAGTCCTGTTTTCTGTGAGTCTGACCACCCACACCTCATATAAGTGGGTCGCACGATTACTGGTCTGGGGTGACTGGCTTATCTCCCTTTGCATAGTGTTCTCATTCATAGCATATGTCAGCACCTTTTCCCTTTTAAGGCTGAACAATAATCTTATGACTGTTGTCTTACTTCCCTCACAGCTGTGACAAAACACCTGAGAAATACAATTTGAGGAAGGAAGGGGTGTTTTCACTCTGGGGCTACCGTTCTTCATGGTGAGAGGCACAGTGACAGGAGCAGGAGGAGGCTGGTCACACTGCATCGGTAGTCAGGAGCAGGAGGAGGCTGGTCACATTGCATCGGCAGTCAGGAGCAGGAGGAGGCTGGTCACATTGCATCGGCAGTCAGGAGCAGGAGGAGGCTGGTCACATTGCATCGGCAGTCAGGAAGCATAGAGATGATGCTGGTGCTCAGCACGCTGTCACCCACATTTAGGGTGGTGACCTCAGGTTAACCCCATTAGAGAATCCCTCATTGACATGCCCAGACATTTGTTTTCTAGGTGACTCTAGACTCTGTCAAGTTGACAGTACTAGCCATCATAAATGCATGTGTGCATTTTGTTTTCCCATCATCCGTGATCGCCATCTGAGGTGTCTCCATCTTCCAGCTGTTGTGAACACTGCTGTATAAGTTTGGAGAAATAGCTCTGAGGCTCTCTTCGACCCTTTTGGTTTACATACAGATGTGGGGGTGTAGTCACAAGCTCCCCAAACACTGTTCCCTTCCTGTCTCTCGCTAAGTACAATTCACCTGAGCCACGACTCAGCAGGGCACAAAGCATCTGTGATGGGGTCTCAGAGAAGACCAAAGACTACAGGTGTCTATATGGATCAAGGATTATTACAGCAGGGCATGGTGGGTCCAATTTTCAAGCACAAAAACTAAAAATGCCAGGACCCACATGGTGGAAGGAGAGTAGAATCCTAAATATTGTCCTCTGATCCCCACATACATGCTGACACGTACACACACACACATACACACACACACAATCAATACTAATATAACACAAATAAACCAAAGCAAAGGGTTGGAGAGATGACTTAGTGGTTAAGAGCACTGGCTGCCCTTCCAGAAGCTCGGAGTTTGATTCCAAGCACCTACATGGCAGCTCATAATTGTCTGTAACTCAGACTCCAGGGATCCAACACCCCTTTCTGGCCTCTGAGGGCTCCAGGCATCCACACAGTACACAGACATTCATGAAGGCAAAACTCCCAAATATGTAAACTTTAAAAACAAAACTAAAAACTACTGGAAATGGCCATACTTGTACACATAAAATGTATGTATAAAGACACAGATTTGATGTTCCTGTCCAGTGAGTGTATTCGCACAGAACTACCTTCATGAATCTTAGTTTTTTTAGGAGATGCTGTTGGAGTGTGAGGTCTCCCTCCACAGATGTGTTTGTAGGCAGAATTACTTCAGAGCATTTGCTGAAGTGCTTCCCCTGAATCATCACACACAGCACTCCTCATGGCTTCCATGTCCCAGGAAGGTTTCCCACACCAGTCCCTCAAGGCTGATGCATGAGCATTGACGGCCAGGACATCCGAAGTCTTGACTTTTAATTAATTTTGGTCTCTAGTAACTCGAGGACAATCAGGATCAAAAGGACATTTGCAGGTGTTTGGTGGGAGGGCTCCCTGTTTCTCATTGGCTCTTCTGCCACACGAGGCTGCTCCGCTAGTCTCGGGCAGATCCCTGACGTCAGGGACAGAAGAAGTCCAGGTGTTTTCAGTTGGCCATGTTAACAGGTGAACAGAGACTTGGACAGTTTCAGAGGCCAGAACATACGGTGTGTCAGGATGAACCAGGTCGGGGAGGGGCTCACGTGTTCACATGTGCAAGTATGTGATGTCTGGGGCTGCGGGGAGAGAGCTCAGTCAGAAAAATGCCTACCATGTAGGTGTGAGGCTCTTACTTCAACCCCAGAACCTGCGATAAAATAAGTCAGGGGTGATGATACGCACTTACAAACCCGGGGCTGGAGAGATGGAGCCCTGGGGTATGGTGGCCAGCCTAGCTGAATTGGCCAGTTCCAGACCAGGGAGAGGCCCTGCCTAAAAAAAAAAAAAAAAAAAAAAAAAACTAAACTAAAAACTACTGGGAATGGCTATACTTGTACACATATAATGTATGTATAAAGACACAGATTTGATGTTCCTGTCCAGTGAGTGTATTCGCACAGAACTACCTTCATGAATCTTTTAGTTTTGTTTGGTGGATGGCTTTTGAAGCACAGCAGATGAGGGTGTCTTCTGGCTTCACACACACACACACACACATTTGCATGTCACCCCCCACCCCCAAATGTGACATTTGAGGTGATGCCTGCTGAAGCTTTCTGTGCACCTAACTTCCTGTCCAGTGTCTGTAAGGGACAATCAGGAAGCTCAGCATTTGGATTAATGTGGAGGCTGCAGGTGAGAAGGCAGATGCATTTCTCTGGTTTGGGTACATCTCTTACTGTTTCAACTCCTGAGGGTCACAATAAATAAGCGCAGTTATTTCCTGCTTTCTCTCCTTCCTTAAAAGCAGTGTGCTTTTAAGTATCCCTAGAATGAGGTCCTGGTTTTAAGTTTCCAATAAAATTCACACACATTCAAAAGAGATGACCTAGATTCGTTCTAATGTGCAATCTACAGGCACGGCAGCTCGGTTCAGTCTCCACTGCCTCTGCCTGCCCTCATCTCCATCTGGGGATGCTGAGGAGCACGTGCTGGCTTGGTTTCCAAGGATCTGGGGCTACTTAATGGCCTCCCGAGGCAGGAGCTGGTGGCGGTAGGTTCACAAAATCTCTCACGAATCTATTCATGGTGAGGCGGCACAGCTGTCGCTGTGGTAAGGAGGGACACGAAGCCTGGGCCGGATGGTCTGTCTCCAAGGATATGGAATCGTCCGTTTGGCTGCAAGCACGCCATCAGCTCCACAAGAAGTCTCCACAGAGGCGCCAAACCAGAGAATCCACCGGGACTCAGTCTGCGGGTCAGCTCTGAGTCAGCTTCAGGCTGGTGTGTCACAATGCGACTTATCCAAACACTCTGCCGCTATCAGGTGACTCTCCTGTCCCCTACCGCCTCCCCACAGGAGCGCTGGGGTTACAGATGCACGCCATGCATCCAGCTTTCTGTGTGGGTTCCACAGCCAGAACTCAGGTCGCCAGGCTTCCACGGCGAGTGCTTTCACCTGCTGAGCCATCCCCACTGCCGACACGTCCCCATTCTTCTGTGTGGCCATCTCTCTGGTCTTGACTTTGTAGGTAAGAAGCCGTGGCTTCCTAAGTCTGGTGTCATCCCTGGTGAGTGACATGTAGTCAAATTGCATTTTTATTAACTGGTGAGACCGTGGGTTTCTTCTGTCTCGTTGACAACTGAGCAGCTGAGCAAGGGAGGTTTCCATTGTTGCCCTTTGACGGCAACTTGTATTTTTAATAAGTCCTCTCCCTAGTATATACAGGAAAAAAAATAAACCCTCCAATATACTAATTACTTTCAACTGCCACATACTGGGAAGGCTTTGACACACAACAGTTCACCCCACAAGGTGAGAAAAAAAAACACCTGCTTAATTATTCTAAAATAAAAGCAATTACTTTTAGAGGCTTGACTCCAATATTAGTTTGTACCAGTGCGTCCTCATAGCAAGTTAACATGCTTAGTTAAGAGGTGCCAGTTAACCAAGCATGGTTAGCACAGTGCAAAGGTGCTTAGAACCACATGTACCATGGAGGCAGGAGGCCATGTCCAGTTAGCCTGGCTAAGCAGAAACATGACTTTTGAAGAGGGATAGACCGGAATCTCCTTGTCCCTGGGTTAGGCATGGCCCCGTAGAGATGGGCTTGAGAGACGACTGTACTCTGGTCCTGGAGACAAGAGGACTGAACATCAAAAGGACACGGCTGGATTGGGCCATGGTAACGTCTAAAGGTGGGATGGCTCTCCACTTGGCTGCTGTTGGGTGGATTCCTTCATTTTCTCTAAGGCGGGCTCACTCCACTTGCTCAGCTCCATGCTACAGATCACAACTACTCTAGGTCAAGACTCAGAAGAGCCATGCTCCAGGCCCTGGCCAGACATGTGCTTTTGTCACTATTTTGTTGCACAACTGCCTCACAAACAACTCAATTCCTTGAACAAAACACCAATTTATAAAATGAGCCAGATGTGGTGGCACAAATCTGTAAATCCAGGTCTCAGGATGCTGAGGCAGGAGGATGAATTTATGTGAACTTGGGCTATATATGGAGCCCTGGCTTTTATAAAACCAGCCAACTAAATGGCTTTACACCCATAAAGGAAGCTTGAGTAAGTTCCTCATCCCAAGTCAGTTTATGTGGTTATAAAATGGGAACCCCCAGACCTTCCCAAGGATACTCTTAGAATCAAGTAGACTAGAAGCTTCGAGACTAATATATGTGGAGTGTAGTAACGAATCCTTAGCACTCTTAACCAGTGGGAGGCTAAGAGGCAGCCAAACAGTTCTGAATATAGACCAGGACCCTAAATGACCTGAATGAAATAAACTCGCAGAGATGACTGACATGTCCGTCTACACACACCAGATAACACTGCTTCTTCTGTTGACTTCTTTTGAACATTTATTAAAAAAGCAAAATGTATGTTCATCTCAAATATAACAGTTAAAAATGGAAAAGCAATACAAACAACGTGTTAGCCAGCAGCATCCAGTCCTCCGCTCGCCCGCCTGCTCCAGTCTGTTCCGGGTGAGCTCAGTCACGGCCTGCCTGCCTGCCTCCCTCCTTACAGTGCAGGTGAAACCAAACCATATAAAATTAACAAGTTGGGGTTAAATAAGCTTAAATAAGAGTGTTAAATACAAGACACTTTATCCGAGTTTCTGTACAAAGATAAACAAATCTGGTGTTGTACACAGGACCCCGCGGGCACTCGGCATCAGGGGACTCGCGTGGGGAAGGCAGAGTGACTCTGTCTGCAGCAGAGAAACTACAGGAAAGCAAACTACGCATTGAGTGACTACCAACAGGTCCAGCCATTTACAAGGCATATGTATCTCTTTAAAAAAAAATCAGAACACTGTTAATATTCAGGCACCGTTTGTTCCTGCAAATAAATACGTCTCTACGGTAACAGCGTTTGAGCTAGTGTTAAACTTCAGAGCGTCTCTCTGACAGAGCTCTGCTGACTACTTACTGCACCCTCCTTATTGCTATGATAATGTGGCTGTGGAAATAAAACTACTGTACATCCAAAAAAATAGAGCACCTTTAACATTAAAGTACATGTCTGATTATCTGCCTCCGTATTTATTTGTACAATCCTGCAGCCTGGCTTAGCATCTCTGTAGGTCACCTACTTCAGTTAGTGACACCCAGTTCTCTCCCCCAGGGAAGCTGAGGCCAGAGCGTTATCAGGGGAGCCTTTCGGCTGCAGGCTACTTCCACGTTCACCAGGAGTTACATTCATCTTCTGCTGCAGCTACCCAGGAGGAGGAGTCCAGGTGCCCTGACCTGTCCTGCTAGGGTGAGTAGCGAGACACAGGACGAACAGTGAGACATCTACCTACAGGTGGTGGAAAGCGCATATAAAACTGCATTGTCAACTTGGGAGGGACCCCAGGCGGGCGGGCAGGCGGGCGGGAAGGCAGGCCAGCCCGTGGTCCCCGGGTGGCGAGCAGCTAGCCGGTCAGGCCTTCTTGTCAATGGTGCTGAAGAACCACTCCGTGAACTTGCGCAGCTGGGCTGTGGCAGTCTGCGACTCTTCCTGCAGCCTCATGTTGTCTTGCCTCAGGTGCTGGACCTCGGCCTGCAGCACTGCCTTGTCCTGCTTCTCCTGTGGGGACCAGAGAGTGTGTTATAGAGCCACTGGTCCGCTGCTCATTCTGACTGAACCCCAGGGACTCGCTTTTGTCACTCACACAGGGACAGGAGCCACCCTAGCCCCTTGGCTCCCCCCGGGTGTTGTCAAGGAGGAATGAAGCTGCTATGCAGGAAGGCAGCCAGTCAGAAGTTGCATGACCCCTTACCCACCTGGAAGAGATAGGTTGAAGCTAGGTTGCAGTGAACCACTCCTGATCTGCAGGGCTTCCCCAACTGCCTTCCCCTCTACCTAAAACTGGCGCCAGGGTGGCAGCTATGGATGCTAGGTCTAGAACAATACTCGGGCCTCATTCCATCCTTAGCCTTCTGGAGCTGCCATATTTCCACACTGACCTTCAGAGCTTGCCACTCAAAAGCACATGGTAATAGGGTTTTCAGAATAGCTGCACTTGGTGCTTCTAACACACAGCCATGGGAAACACACGGCAGGCTTCAGATCCCTAGAGCCGAGAGGCACAACCCTCAGAGCAGCCTCTGTCTCTAGTGGCTCACACAGTGGGTGAGCAGCGGCTGAACCACGGGGAGCTCTTCATCTCCCCAGGGTGTCTACTTTCACCCTTCAATGGCCTCCTGGTTCCCTACCTCTTCTGGGCTTGCCCCAAACCCACCACCCTGCCCTGTAAAGCCCCAGGACTAGCCAGGACTAGCCTTGTCACAAGGCCAGCCCAGCCCTGAAATCCTCCTCCCTCCACCCCTTTCTGCCTTGGCTCAGACCACCCTGCTGCCACTCAGCTGTGTTTCCCCAAGACCCCGCCCCCCCAGCATGTAATTAGACCTGTGTTTCCGCACTTCTGATTCCCTTTCCTCTTCCTGCTCTTGAATCACGGGGACAATATCAGCCAGTGCTCCTCCTAGCCGCTGCTCCCTTTGGAACTCCGCCCACTCTAACAGCCTGATGTTAGAGATGAGACCCCCGCCCCAGGCCTGTCCATGTGTCCTGTCTCCCAGACCTTCCCAAGTCTCATGGACAACTCTAGAGCCCCGTTCTCTCTTCTGCCCACCCCATCACTGATGCCACAGCCCCTTCTAGAGCAGTTTCAAGTTTTTACTTTCTGACCCATTGCCATCTTCTGTTTTTCAAAGGAAGCTTCCGGGGACCCACTCCTCAATGTCTTCTAATCCTGTCTCTCCCAATGACCACTTCCCATCATCAGCTACTCCTGCCCCACATTGCCGGATCTTCCCGAGCAGTCCTGCCAGGAAGGATCTTGTTCCTCTGGCAAGCTGCTGTACACCTCCCCAGGCAGCGTATACTCTGGGTCCCCTGATCTGCTCACACCCTACATACCCAGGGGTCCTTGTATCCCTCTTTATTTCTCTCTTGATTTCCTGTCTAAACCAAGTTAGTTAAACTCAACTGCCTTGGTGTCCATACCAGCCCAGGAGATAAAGCAGTGAGCTGTCTCTACTTGCCTGGGACTCTGTGGGTTAGAATGAAGTCCTAGGGTCTGGGAAACTTCTCTAGCCCAGGCAGAATGGGGTAGGAGGTCCCTGGAGCTGGCAAACACACACACACACACACACACACACACACACACACACACACACACACACACACACACACCCTCATCTCTGGAACCAGAATCACCATGACACACCCACAGCTGGAAAAGCGAAGCCTTATGTGGCAGCTCTGCTGAATACACCCTGGCGGTTTCCCCCTGCACTTGACCCTAGCCTCTTAGCTGGTGATAGAAGACAGAGACCATCAGAAGTAAGTGTGTCAACATATGGGCGTGCATGTGGACACAGACACACGTGTCTAACATACTGCAAAAGCTGTCCCAGTGCCCACCCGAGGCCAACTCCCTCCCGACACACTAGAGCGGGACTTGACTTGTGTGTAATTCGTTCTCTTCACTCCTTCCTTCCTGCTTGGCCCAATCCCATCGACAAACATATACACCAGCTAAAATCCCGCCACCCCAGGAGCCTCCTGGGACACTCGCTGTGACACACACGCCACTCTGCCTCTCTGGGCAGCAAGGGGCACCTAGTACAGTGAGGACACTGTGGTGGGCATCAATCAGCAGGAGTTCCTGCAAGAAGAACCTCGTTCCTCTGAGCAGAAGCTGGCACAGGTGCATGGCAGCTGTTCCAGGTGGGAGAGCTGACTGAGCTCTCAGAGAGCTTGTTTTTGGGGAGCTACTGACTCCCCTTTGGACTAGCTCACATGTATCTACTGCAATCAACAACTCAGAGAATCAAAGATGCCAGCTTGCTGCATCTTACTTCACATGGAGACCTCACCATACAGAAGGCCCAGTCACCGTCAGGCATGTCCACAGGGCTCCCTGCTCCCTCAGGAAAAAAACCACAGCAGCTGCGTGTGAGGAGGAGAGGGCAGACCTAGGGAATCTCCCTCCTGTGTCCAGGTCTGTTTAGGGTTTTTCTATCCCTGCGTCTTCTCAGCTTCTTTGCAAGAGTTAAAGGGGCTGGCTGCATGTGGGCAAAGCCCTCTGTGGGTGCACTCCAGCAATCATACCTTGCGAAGGTCGGTCTGCAGTTGTCGGAGAATCAATTCCAGCTGGTTGACTTTCCCAGTCAGTGTGGAGGGCGAGCGCTCCCTGGTAAATGGTACAATTAAGAGGACTTGAGAGACCCAGGGCTAGCATACTGCTTGTGTTAGTCAACTTTTCACTGAAAATATTACATGTAAGTTGACGATTTGGGACAAAGTCCCCATAGCTACCGCTATGGACTCAGAATCCAATCTGTAAGACCCAAAGGCTGATAAGAAAACAAAGGCCAGGATTATTTAAATGGACAAGAGGGAGGCCAGAGCTAAGTCCTAGGAGCCAAATGTAGACCTGCTTCCCCTTGCTTTTGTCATGAAAACAGGACCGGTTCGGTAGAAGTTAACAGTGACTCAGTTCACAGGGAAGCCAGAACTGGGTTCATCATCATGAAGAGTGGGTGCATTCCTCATGTAGGTCAACAGCAGGTGGATGGCTGGATCAAGGACCAGGGTCTGGGGGGAACTGTGCCCTAGGCAGGCCCCACAGCATGAGTGACTCACAAGGGGGACACTGCCTGGTGCTTTTGTAGTAACTGGGTAGCTGACCTGAAGTTCCACTTGGTTTTCTTTGCCAGTGAGACTGGCTACTCTGGGCACAGGCCAGACATCAGGCAGGACCTGCCTATGTAGTGCAATGGTTACACAATTTAGTGGTATCATTTCCAGCATGGCAGGAATCCAGGTCAGTCCCACTGTAAGACTCTCTCTAGCTTGGCCTGGGATGCCCGAGTTCTGGGACCGTGGGAGGGAGCGTCCACATACCCAGGTGTATCCATGAACTCCTTGCCGCTGGTGGGATCCACACACAGGGACAGCTCTGGTGCTCCTTCCAGGTCTTGTCCATGCTGGAGGTCAGTCAGGGTACAGAAAGATGCCACCCTCTGGTCTGGAGATGAGGAACACACAGAAAGCAGTTTGGTGAGAAGCATCAGGCACCATGTCTGTGTACAGACCAATTTACTGAATGGAGTCTGCTGGCCCTCCTTACCACAATGCCCTGTTTGAAACAAAACAGAAAAACAGAAACTCAGGCAAGCTGTTGGCAATGAAAAAGCATGAGATTGACTGTCCTCCATGGGCTGTATGGTACATATATCACAGCCACAGAGACAGGTCTACTTTCTTCTTTCCATACCCCAAGGAATCTAAGCTACTGGCTGTGCATGAATTAGCAAGCTGGATGGACAGAACCATGGAGATGGACCCTTCTGCAAGCTCCCGTGAACTCGAGAACATTCCTGAGAGAGAACAGCCAGGGCACACGTCCCTGGTGCATCCCCCACCCCCACTCATGTGGACCACCATGCAGGCGTGCAGACACATGAAATAGAAATAAAAAGAACAGGCTACAAAATAGCAAGAGCCAGTGTCAATCACCTAGGTAGGAGGCGTGGTGACAGAGAAGCCCGAGTTCTTCATCTGAGTCAAGACCTGAAATAAGATTTAGAATTCTCCCATGAACAGGAAGATCTCTCTGACCTGGAGAATCTCCAGGACCCTTACGATGCTTGAAAGATGGGGTTGTGTGAGTACAGCATGCATGGTGTGCTGGCATTTGTGTGTGAGGGGTCTATGCACACCTATCTGTGTATGTGGAAGAAGACAGCAATCAGGAGAAGGCTTGGGCTAGTGTCATATGGTGTCACACAAGATGGTGAGATACCACGTTTCATGTTATAAGCGTTCTAGTTAGAAGCAGGGTGGAAGTGTCTGACATATCCATATTCAATCATAGATGCCATTATTTCAGATTGTCCTGAATGTAGATTTAAGAACAGGGGTGGTGAGAGCAACCAGCCGGGCCCTCTCACTAGAAACTGCACGGGAAGCTCAGAGGGACCAGCAATGCTAGCAGTAACACCCATACCCAGGCATCATGAACTTGGCATTCAATGTTTCCAGACAGCTGGGCAGGAAAGAGAGGAAAGCAGAAGCAGCTCAGCCTCTCGGGGCCCAACTCTGACCCAGAACTCAAGCCAGCGCTGTAGGTTGGGAGGAGGCGTCCTGTCTTTACAGAGCATGGGGACAGATTCGGGAAGCTGGCTTTCCCCTGAACTCGGAGTGGACGTGCATGCACAGCTGGAACTGGAGGGGTGAAGTTCGCCAGTGAGTACCAAGGAGACTCTTCTTACAGGGATTGATTAATGGGGAGGAGCTCTGTCTCCCGCTGGCTGCTGCACAGGCCTCCTAATGAGGTGACCTGCCTGTTTGGTTGATGTAGGGCCACACACTACCAGTTAATTAAAAAGGATAGCGATGCTGAGGCTGCCAGGGGCATATGATGGAAAGTCACTGCAGCCATACAGTGCCTACCTACTCACAGTGCCCTGGGCCCTCTCAGAAGTCCTGCTGAGCCCACTCGGTGACCCAGGACATCAGGGTTCTCGAACTGCAGGGCCCCTGCCTAATACCTGCCATAGGCATACAGGTCCTTTAATTGCCTTTTCTGTAAAGCCTAAGTCTAACCCACAGCATGACAAAAGATCTTGCGACTACTCAGCCCTTACAGAAGGCTGGACACTCGGGGGTTGGCACTTGGTGAAATAACCTGTAGCGTAATGAATAATGCAGTTTGGCTACTGCCCACATCCACACATGGTCTCCCTGCACAGAGGTGGTGAGGATGGACTAAGGGGAACCCTGGCTGGGAGTCAGTAGGAGGACTGGGTGGCTACAGGATTCTGCACACACCAATTACTGGCCTTTCGGCTTTTCATGTGTAAAATCCTACACAGCCCTCTTCTGTGAGGGCCCCAAATAAGACATTGTGTTATTTAAAACCAACAGCAACCAAAAACTAGAAAAGCCTAAGCTGGGTAAAAAGCTGCTGCACAGGGGTGAGGCCCCGAGTTTGGACCCCTAGCCCGATGGAAAGCTGAGCGGGGTGAGCGTGTGTCTGTAACGCCAGCGTTGGAGGGTGGAGGCAGGCGGATCCTGGAGGCTCACTGGCCAGCAAGTCTAGCTGAACAGTGAGTTTCAGGTTCAAGGTTCAGAGAGAGAGCCTGTCTTAAAGGGGGATGGGGTGGGGGGAGGAAAAACTAGCAGAGAAATCTTGATGTCAACCTCTGGCCTCCACACGTGTCCACACAGGCAAACATGCCTGCACATGCATGTCTGCCCTCCAACATCAAGAGGTTTTTTTGGTTTTTGTTTTTTTTAAACTTTGTGAAGAATTCCATGGACTCATTTTACTGTGTGGAGCCTAGTGACAAGCCAGCCGAGCTGCCTTCGCTTTTAAGTGTATTTGGCTCTGAGGGTCAGGTCTCCTACCCGGGTAGAAACACTGTAGCCCTGTTTTAGCTGTCTCTGCCTTACTTTAGAAATCTCCACACAGGAGCCGAACAGGACATGTTCCCGGCAGCCTCAGCGAGTCACATGGTCCTCTGGCCAGGGGGCAGAAGCCAGTGCAGACCTTGCTACCCGGGGAGTGTGTACCGGAAGAGCAGGCTGGGGACTTTGGGCACATGGATGCTACTCTTCTGAGCCGACACTGAATGACTTTCTAATAAGGCTCGTCTTCCTGACACTTTCCAGGAAAGCTCATTTGCCTTCTACGATGGCAAATGCCCTGCCATCACGTGACCTGACCCAGAACCACATGGTACAAATAAAAGCACAGAACAGGCAAGCATGGCAGAGTGGATGTTGTATGCAGGCCCAGCTCAGGCCCGGCAGCTGAACCCTGTGGGGCAGCCTATTTGCTCTGCCCCTCCTGTTCCCAAATGCTAAGCAGGCTTGGCTAATGGCGACATCAGACATGCCTGAGGGACAGACAATTCACCCCTTTAGGTACGTTTATACTTATTTCAACTTCGTTGTAGCTGTTCATGTGGGGTGGGGGGCAATGTGCATGTATGTTCAAATGTCGAGCTCAGAGATCAATTTAGGGTATTGCTTCACAGGTGGGTCTACCTTCCTTTTTATTTTTAGAGACAAGTTCTCTCCCTTGGCCTGGAACTTGCAGATTCTACTAAGTTGACTGGTGAGCAAATCCCCATGGGTCCTCATGGCTCCACTTCCTCAGTGTTGCGATTGTAAGTGTGCATGGTGTGCCCAGTCTTTTCACTAGGTCTTCACACTTGCAAGGCCAGCATCTAATGACTGAGCCATCTCCCCAGCACCCAACGTCATTTTTAAAGATCTGAATGCACATAGCGTTATACAAGAGGAAGAGTAATCCATACGCTATTCAATGACAGTTTTAGGGCTGAAACAGCAAGACGGTGAAGGTAAATCACCCCGAGACTTCAAGCCACACCTGCAGGGCTGGCAGTGGTGTGAGCAGTGGCTACAGGGATGAGCAGTCCTAGTAAAGGTACCAGAGGCTCCGTGGACGGCAAGTGGCTAGGTAACTACACTCCTCCACAGAGGAGGCGGCTCTGGTCTGTGTGTCAGAACCACAGAGGAGGAGACTTGCAGGAGCTCTGCAGCTGGGGAGGAGGAGGCAGAGGCTCTGACTGGACACCCGTGCTTCCTGGGCTGCAGGAAAGCGACTCAGCTGACAGGAAAGAAACGGAACACACTGCACTTCCCACAGAAACACACACCCTGGTCGGGCCTTTGTCAGTCTCCGAGGAATGCAAAGAGGCAGAGCTGGTCTGAGTGACGGGAAGGAAAGAGCCCTGGAATTAGCCTCTGCTCAAGACACAGCTCCGCCTTGGCCTGAAACCCTTTCTCTCTGCTGCTTAGATTTAAGCAGATTTACTGTACAGTTTCCATCTCCAGAGTGGTCAGTGTTCTCTACTTTCTCCACCATTTACACAGTCATCAGGAGGCATCCAGCATGCTGAGTTCTGTTTGTGCTCGGACACAGGTGTCAGACATCAATAACTTTAAGACTTTTATCAACTTTGTGCTTAATATTTAAAACCAAAAAACTTTTCATCCTCAAAGTTTATGATTAAGCTTTTTAAGAAACCAAAGACACATGGAGCATATATTAAAGGCACAGACTTAAGGCGTTTAATATGTCCATTTGGTCATCTAATTCCCACAGCAGGCCAGCATTGGCATTAAATACATCAAAAGGCACAGTTTAATAGACAATATATATATAATATGCTCATGTGGTCATCTAATTCCCATGGCAGCTCAGCATAGGCATTAAATGCATGTAAGCACACATGTCCCACACTCAGTCCTGGAGACATGGTGATAGTCATCACCCATGGTAAATACTGGGCATTTAGAGGACAGGCCTCCTCAGGCTGGAGACAAGCACACTTGTTCTCCACTTCAGCATGTAAGAGGAAACTATGAGAACCACACTGGCTGGCTCCTGATACTTTGATGATGAATGACAGCAGCTAACTCCACGACCTGTGTGTATGTGCACGCTCATGTATGTGCAGGTGCATGTGTGTGTGTGTGTGTAGGCCAGAGGTCAACTCTGGCTATTATTCCTCAGGATGCTGTCAACCTTGTTTCTTGAAACACGGCCTCTCATTGGCTTTGAACACTCACTGATTCAGGTACGTTCGCTGGCTGGCTAGTGAGTCCCAGGGATTTGGGAGTCTCTGCTTTCCCAGCACTGAGATTACAAGTGTGAGGGACCGTGCCTGGCTTTCACACAGGTTCTGCAGGTCAAACTCAGGTCCTCAGCTGCATGGCTAGCACTCTGACTGAGCGGTCTCCCAGCCCTTTAATGGGAGGACTTTTAAAAGAGACTCCACTTCCCTTCCCAGACTCAGTCTGACCCACAGCCAGATTTTCTACTTAGTTCTGATCCCATTCACAAGGTCACATCCTGTTAAGCCTGGATTTAAGTGAACACACTAATAACACATTATCAGAAATGCAAGTAACACACCGCCTACAGGACATCACAGCCTGGCTGCACAGTCCACTTACACAGTGCCTACAGTTCCCCATTGTGCTTACGGGGCTGAAGGAACCACAAGCAGCACCTTGGGAGAGGGTCCCAATGCACTGCAGATTCCAAATGTAGTTTCTATGGAAGGTACATTGCTCTTGAACCACTACAAAGTAGAAAGAATC